TGTATTACGAAAAGAAAGGAGAGGAAATAGTGATATATACAATCAAGATAACGTAGTGTAGTATGATCATCATTGGATAACTGACTTGTTGTATATAGTTGATTGAGATCATCAAGAAATATTTTAATTGATGAATAATCAAATAAAATATGATGAAAATTAAAGATGATTACATCTTTATCAGAAAGAAGATCATCTGAAGAGATCTGTTTGTAGTAAACAAGATGACATCGAAAGACAAGACCTTGCGAAAGATCAAAATATTGAGTGTTTTGTCGTTCATCGTACATGATATCGTTGAGTTGTTCATTTGTCTTATAAGTACTTTCAATCAATGTAAATAGTTTTTTATTATTATCATTTGGTTCAATGATTCGTTGCATGAGCAGATTCTTTTCTGTATCAAAGATTAATGATGTATGAAGTGATTGATGTTTTACAAGAACTAATTGAAGAGCATTATAAAGTTGTGGAACTGATAGAGTATGGTTCAGAAAAGGACGATATATAAATGGCATATTGTAAACTGTTATTTCTGATTTGTCTGAATTGAAACGGATTCGTTCATCAAGCCAGATACGAGTTTGTGCATAGGATGCTGGTGCTGTAAAAGTGAAACTTCAGTATTAATCCTATAAAGACGGATATACTTTGAGAAAAAAATGAAATTTAATAAAAGCTGAAAAGAATGTGTTCATTACAAAGGGAAACGCGATTTTCATCATAGACTGTTAGCAACATCTATTTTCCTTAAACATAGTTTACAGAGTCACACACATGATTAACGCGCACACACAGCATCATCTTGCGGGCATAGGTCCACAATAAATTAAAGTTATCTTGGAGCAATTTTATACTATATAATTACACTTTTTAGCTCCCTTTACTCCTTTAACTCTCTTTAGTCCCTTCACTCCCTTAGCTCCCTTTACTCCTTTAGCTTCCTTTACTTCTTTAACTCCTTTAGCACCCTTCGCCGTTTTAACAATTTTAAACACCCTTCCTCATTCACTTCCTATATTCCTTAAGCTTTTCATAGTTCATTTACTTGCTTTTCCTTTATCTATAATTAGAGAACTTCTTGAATGCCCATGAATATCTTTCATTGTTTAACTGAACTTGTATACTGAAGCATATAATCTACTTCTTCCAAACAATGTGTATCATCTATAATGTAAAACAACAATAAAACTAAAAACACCAGAGTAAGAAAGGAATAGATGAAGTTACATATCGCTTGATACATTTGTCCATCGGTTAAAATAATACGTAACCACTCCTTATTATTGATCGTCCGCGATAAAACTTCCCTCTACGAAACAATGCACATCTTCTTTTCCCACGAAGGCGTTTATTTCTACTTCATTTAATGATTAATCAAATAATTTTTTTAAACACAAGAAAACCAAAAAAATAGATAAACGAGAAAGAAAATTTAAAGAACTGCTTCCCAGACAGACAAAACTCAAAAAAAGACGGACAAGTATACGTAAAAATTTTGAAATTTTAACGAAGATAAAATCCGGGAAAGCTCATATTTTTACGATTTTTATCACCGTTAGCTTTGTCTACTGTGATAAACGCGTCGACAATTTGAGGTTTAGCTTCCTAAAGTTTCTTTTCCAATAACCAGAAGACAGATGACAAACAACATAGTACAATCCGTTAACCGAGTAGCAGAAGACAAAGCAGCAAAAAACGTTAAAGCAGTAAAGAATGTTGAAGGAGCAAACAAGCTAAGAGAGTAACGCGAGCAAGAGAGCTAAGGGAGCTAAGGTAGTAAAGAGAGCTAAAGGAGTAAAGGGAGTAAAGGGAGTAAAGGGAGTAAAGGGAGTAAAGGGAGTTAAGGAAGCTAAAGGAGCTAAAGGAGTTAAGGGAGCTAAGGGAGTAGAAGGAGTTAAGGGAGTAGAAGGAGTTAAGGGAGTAAAAGGCTAAAAAGTGTAACTATATAGTGTAAAATTGCTCCAAGATAACTTTAATTTCTTGTGGACCCCTCGTTGCCTCTAATTTTACCCATACAATAGTAACGAAAGGTCCAGGTTTCAATTTCATCGATTAATAAAATAAGCTGGAAACATTCAGACTCTCTATTTTCGACAAGCTTCGGTCAAAATTTACGAAACTTCTTTAGTTTTATAGATATTCTCTTTCACACGCATTCTTCAATCCATAATTTTTTGGGTATTCAGTAACTCAATCCTTTCTATTTTAAAATTTTTAATTTGTAGAGGTCATATCTAGTTCTTTTCTCATGGTCGTAATCATACCCTCGACATACGTCATCTACTTTGAGCTATATGTTGATTTCAATCTTATGAAATTTAATCGAAAACTTATTGACAATAAATATAAAAATATTTCGAATACATGTTTTTTGTTATTGGAGTAATTGATAGGCATCAGCGTTCTGATTTTTTTTCTTTTTAACCCTTTACGGCCGGCTACCAGAAGACAACAAGCAAGAAGTTATCTTTCTATATATTCTTTGTTGTTTAGTTATAGGGATCAATTTTTCACCGCCGACTTTTTAAAAAATGCCGTATCCCCCTACGGCAAAGTTGTTACCTTTTAGCAACATTCGGTCGTAAAGGGTTAAAGTAATTTAAATTTATATATGATTGATATGCTTAGTTTCGATAAATAGAAGAAAATTTAATTTTAGTATTTCAATCTAATCCTTGTAAAAATTTAAATTTAAATTTAGCTGCGCTTTATCTGAAAAGAAAGTATTTTAATTTCTATCATTCATTCTATATTTTTGTCGATGTTCAGATTATGAATCGATTTAGAATATATTCTACTACTTGACTACTTCTACTTGATTTATTCTTTGTATTCAGTTTCTGATGGGTTAGATTATTCGAAATATTATTGTTAAAGATTTTATTAAAAAAAAAATATCATATATGTCAACATATCTACACAACTTTCATCAATATCTGCTCTAAAACATGAAGAAATAGATAAGCATACCTTCATTTGCAGTATTCGATAATTTACGAAAAATTACTCCTTGCATTTCTTCAATCTCTTCTGGTAAAATAAGTGATAATTTGCTGATAGGCATATTCGATTGATTATATATTAGCTCATCAGTCATTGAAGTACAGAAGAGTTGTGTGAGCATATGTTGAAAACGATTTGCAAGTAGATCAACGTCAGCTTGATTTTTGAATATATCGGCCGAACAATCGAAAAAACATTCTGTGCTTCGTGAATGATGATCATGAGCTATTGTGAGTGATAAATCAAACAATGCTGTTCCATTACCATGAGATCGATCTCGATCAAAGTAGATACCAAAAACAGTACCTTCGTCTGTAGTTATCTCCAATTTGTTACTCTGCGTTATAGATGACATCAACGATTCATAATGAAATAATGTTGAAGGCAATACTTGATGATCTCGTTGATCATATGAATTAATAATATGCTGATAAGGTAAATAACCATGTTCGAGAATACTACTACTGAGCTCTTGTATCTTTCGCACCAAGTGATCGAATGATTTATTCGGCTCAATTTTCATTCGATACGGTACGAGATTAACGAACATGCCAATCATATATTTTGTCTCTTGCACAAATCGATTAGCTATGTTACCTGCTACACACAAGTCATCATCATCAATTAACTTGAATAAGAATACATAATAACAAGAAAGTGACAATGTAAACATAGTGATATTATTTGAGGAAGCACATAACATCATCGCATCAACAAGATGTTGATTGATAGAAAATGTAGTCGAATAACCACGACCTGAACGAATCTGTTCGATATCTGCTCCGTCAGGTACCAATTGTCGTATTCGATACCAGTCATAACCATCCATAAGATTGAACCAAAACTGACGTGCCTTATTAATTTTAGAGTCCATTCTCGTATCGGCTAACATTGATTGTTCATATAATGTGAAATCAATATATTGTGGAGTCGATGATGTTGGTTGTTGATGACGATCAGCCCAACAAGCTTTCTTAAATGCTTCGACAAATGGTTTGAGTGAGCCATTATCGAATGATATGTGATGAAATGTAATAGCCACAAGATCACCCTCAGACAATCGATGATCATGTTCATCATTACTTCGCTGGATTATATGGCATCTCACTACTCTTCCTGTTTCAATATCAAAGTGTTTTCCTACCGATTCATTTGTAAGTAGTTGATCGAGCTGCTCCGATGTGCTAATGCCACGTGAATGTTGAAATGAATAAATTTCATGGGTAGTAGCCTGAATGTATTGTTCGATCTGATTACTTTGTGAGTTAAAATGAATAGCAGTACGAAGGACAGTATGTTGTTCAATTAATGTGAGTAAAATTGAACGAATACGTTCGACTCGTAATGAACCTTGTTTGATTATCAGTGGTACCAAAATATTGTAGACAGACAGGTCGGAAGAATGAAAATAAAGTTGTTCATGAAGCCAAATTCGTTGTTGAACAAATGAAGCAACAGATTCTGTTCGCCCTGAAATCGTGAGTTTTGGTTCTTTGTGTGCATTTGTTCCTGCTACTAGTCGCTTACGTGAAAGCATTGTATAATCAAGGTATAAATCAATAAATATTAATTAATTAATAGAATAAAATAAGAAGCTTAATAGAATCTACAAATTAAAAAGAAGATGAGAAAAATTAAATAGGTATTTCGAAGTATGAAATAAGAACAATGATCTCATCATATGAGAGTGATATTATTATCAAGAGTACAATAAACTAATGTAATCTTCTAATAATACTCCAAAATGAAACAAGAGAATTGATTGAGTAGCTATCATATCATATTAGATAATAAAACAAAATATTACTTATTTTAATGTTGTTAGTAAGTTAATTAACTATTATAGGTTTTTACAAAAAAATATTTTATCGAAGAAATTTATTAGTATTGTTAAGAAATCTAGAAATATTAGTATACTACGGTAATTGATATAAATAAAATAGATTTAATAAATAAGAATAAATATTTGATTAAATAATAATTGTGAACATGTTTTAATTGTGAGCATCTAAAAGATGTAATTGCGTGTTAGTAATGAGTGAATGTGCTTCGAGTTGTTTTAACATTTCATGAGCAATAGTTTCTTCTGGTTTATTTCGAATAGCTACTATTTGATAAAATCCACATGGTTGAATACGACGCATTTGTGTAATAAGATTTTGAGCATATGTAGATATAGATGATGATGATGATGTTATTGTTGGTATTTGTAAAGCATAGATATCATTTGATGATGTTTTATTTTTTTGATCAGATAATTTATCAATAAAAAATGTAAATAAATCTTCATTATTCTTATCATTAACATTTGATATTTGAGTAATACAAAAAAGAGTTGAAGTATTATTTTGATTTGATCGATGTAAACAAATGATATTTTCTAAACCAGTATATGCTGATGTATTAGAAAATTGAATTTCATTTTCATTAATTAAATCAAAATCTGAATCATGTTCTTTTGTAACTGTTGATGTTGTTTGTTCTTTTTCATTAAGTTTGCTATAAACAAGTGTTGCAATTGTTTCAATTGAAAGTCCATGAATAAGATCAGATAATGGTATATAAATACCAGTTTCTTGACCTAACCAATTATATAATGAAACAGCAGCTAATGAATCCATACCTTGACTAACAAGTGAACGATCAATGACTATACGATCAACACTAACTGCACCTAATAATCTTGCAACAACAGATTGAGTTCGTTCAATAATACTTTCTTTTTTATTCATAGTAGACTCAGCTGAGTTATTTTTTCCTGATGATGTCGATGATATTTGATCAAATTTCATTTCTTTATAACGTTGATCTACGATTTTTCTTAAATAAGATGTAGCTAATGTTGGATAATTTCGATGTAATATTTGCCAATTAACAGCAAAAATAACAGGACATGGACAAATCTTTTGAGTTCGATGAAAACATTCAATTAATTTGAATACAGTTACTGTTGGCATTAATTCAAACCCTTGTGTCTCTTTCAAAGTACTGAGCATTTCTTTATGACGATGAAACATTCCAGCACCACTTACAGCTGGTAAACTAATTGATAGTGCTGGTAAATTAAGTTTTGCAAAACGATAATGAGCAAGTGCATCAAGAAATTGATTACCAGCATTATAACCAGCAGATGAAACTTCAAGTAAATGATTTCGAATTGATGAAAACATAATAAAGAAATAAATAGGTGCATGAAGAAGTTGTGTAGCTTGATGAAGATACCATGCACCACGAACTTTTGGTGGTAAAACAAGTGATAAATGTTCTTGTGTTAAATTACCTAAAGTACGATCTTCTGAGACAACAGCACTATGAATAATACCACGGATAGGATAAGAAGTTTTTTGAAATCTTTCAATTAAATCATAAACTTGTTGAAAATTTGTTACATCTGCTTGAACAACATCAACATGAGCATTATATTCTTTTGTTGTTCGTTTTAATCTTAACCAATCATCATATTGTGGATTCGAAGGTTTCTCAAGTTCAACTAATGTTCGACGACTCATAAGTGCTATATGTTTAACACCTCGTTGTTCAATCATCCATCGAGACATTGTTAAACCAAGACCACCAAAACCACCAGATATTAATATTGTTCCTTCATTACAAACTTCTGATGGAAACATTCTATTATCACTTACAACTATTAATTAAAAAATAATAATAATTGAAAGAAAATATGTGTAAGAGATGATTACCTTTTAATAAACTAGTAGATTGTTTTTTATTAATATTTAATGGTTGATCAGATGAACTTATACGAAAAACTGTTTTACCCATAACTTGCCCACTATTACATCTTAATAATGCTTCTATTACTTGAGGTGGTTCATAAGTAACTGTTGGTTCAACAGCACGTAATTTACGTTGAACAAATAAGTCAATTGCTTCTTCTAGCATAAGACGAATAAGAGGTGACACATGATCAGCAAGTCCAGCGAAGTCAATCACATGAAAACTACAATCTGATCGTAATTGAAACATTGATAAATTGCTATCATGATAAATATCTCGTTTACCCCATTCAACAAAATTACCATGATATGCTAATAATTTAATTGATTCTTTCAATAAAATACCTGATAATGAATTAACAATAACATCAACACCTTGTGGGAGAATTCGACGTATATCATTAACAAAAGAAGTATCTCGACTATTAAATACATGTTCAATACCATAATATTCATGAAGAAAACGTCGTTTTTCTTCAGTTCCAGCTGTAGCAATAACACGAGCACCAATATATTGGCAATATTGAATACACATTTGACCTGCAGCACCTGTTGCAGCATGAATAAGAACAGTTTGACCAGCTTGCAAATGAACACGATATTTAAGAGAATATATAACTGTTAAAAGTGGAGTTGGCATACCACATAATTGTTCATCAGTAAGAGGAAAATCAGATGGAATACGTATTATAAGTTGTGAATTAATCATAATATGAGAATGATATGTACCATGACTAGTAGCACCTACAACATGATCACCAACTTGAAAATTAGTTGTTGTAGGACCTACACGTACAATAGTACCAACAAAATCTGAACCTGGTTCTGTATCTTGATTAACTTTTGGTTGATTTTCATCAGATTGTGCAAAAGTACGTGTATGTGGATAAAGACCACGTGACTTGAGTACATCACGAAAATTAATACCAACACAATGAACACGAACTTCTACCACACCTGGTAATAAGTCTTTTTCTCTATCTTCTCCAATCCATGTTAATTCAGAAAGAAAACGAGATTGCGGTACACAAATACGAAATGGTTTTTGATCAGCATCTCGTTTAGGAATAATAGAAATTTGTTCTAATTTAGATTTCTCTTGTTCGTCATCAGTAGATTTTTGTAACATTTCATAATACCACGTTAAATGTTGAACTTGATTTTGATCTGTATCATTAAGACGAAGAACAACTTCACAAGTATCACTTGAATATCTTGAATTAATCATATATTCTATTAAAGTATGAATAAATATTAATTCATTATTTAATGATGTTCGAAGATCCATAAGTTTTAATCTATGTCGTTCATATTCAGTTATTAAACTTCGTGCAAGACCAATAAATGGTAATGCAATTATATTAAGATTCGAATTATTATTAAATTGAGCATGATCTGTAAGAACATATACAAATGGATAGAAGTGTGGTGATGATTTTTTAATTGTTTGAAGAATACGTGATAATGTTCCACATAGAAGTTCTTCATTTTGTTTAAATGCTAAATCATCATTATTTTCATTAAGTAATACTTGATTAAGTTGCCATGCAAAAATAACAGATGTTTGTTTATAAGTAGTTAGTAGAACTGGTATTCCAAAACAAATCATATCTAAATTTGAATTACGTATATCAAAAATTTTAATATTTGAACATGGTAATAATGATGATAGAATATGACTAAAACTATTTTTATTATTATTATCATCTTTAGTAAATACTACCCATATTTGATTTTTTCTTTCATCAAGTGTTTGTAATATTTCTTTTGATATTGTTTTTTGACTAATAATTAATGTACTTTCATTTTCATTTAATGTTGATTCAATAATATTAAATCCTTGGATTTGTTCTACTAATGTTGTCCATTGTTGAATATTAGTTAATGCACGATTATTATCATCAGATGATGACCACCATTGATCAATAAAACCAAAAATAAGATCAAAATAAAGAGGAACATGAACTAATTCAAGTAATAAAAGAAGACCATTAGGGACAAGTAAGCGACGAAGATCAGTTAAAGAATTTGTTAAATCTTGATTTCCTAGAAGTTGATTTGCAGAAAATATAATATCAAATGATTCTATTGGTATTTTTTCAAGTGTTTTACTATCATATAAATCAATTGTTTCATCATAAATAATAGATAAGTTTGTTTGATTGGTTATATGTGTATTAAATGTTTGTTGAGCATTTGCAAGTTGTATTGGATCAGAATCTACATAATGTAAATCAATTAATAAATCTGTTTGTTGTGATAAATTAAGAAAAAGATCAAGAATAGGTAAAATATCTGAATAGTCATTATCAGTTAACCACAATATACATAATCGATAATTTTCAAATGAATTATCTTTATTTTGTTCATATTGTAATTGTAAATGTTGACAAATCGAATGAAAAATTTGTTGTATTTTAGTTGCACTTAGAAGAGTTTTAATTTGTTGAAAAGTCTGTCCAATTTCAACATCACGAAAAAATATATCTGATCCATTTTTTTCTCCACTAAGAATATCTTTTAAATGTAAACCATATTTATTTAATATTATTAAAAATGGTTTTAAACGAGGAAAACGTTCAATTAATTGAATAAGACGAAGATGTATTGAATTCCATGTTACTTGTTCTGAATGTAAAGTTGAAGCAAGAGAACGACATGCATTTAATAAACGATGATGTATATGATTTAAAACAAGATCTTTAATTGTCATTTGAGCATAATAAACAGCTAATTCATTAAACGGTTCTATCGTTTCAATTAAATCTTGATTAATAATAAAATTAAGTTGATTATTAAGAATAACTTGATTAGGTGATGGAAGTAAACCTGATTTATCTTTTATTATTGGTAATCAATCGATACTCTTTTCATACAATAATCTTTTATAATTGTATCTAAATATGGTTTATGATCAGTACTAGATAAATCAGTTTGGATATTTAATTTATCATAAATTGTTTTTTCCATTGACCATCGACCAGACTGTACACCTTGAACTTGTTGAATAACAGCACCTTCAAATGTAAATACTGGTTCGTCTATTTTATTATCCATTGGAAATATCCATAAATCAAGATTATATATTTCTTCTTGACCTATGCCACATATATTATCATGATAATTTCCACGTACTTCAATATTTATTGATTGATTCATTTTTGTTTTATTTGAATAAATAAATTTTTGTATACGTGCAGGAAGAAATGTTGTTTCAACACCTGGTAACAGAACTAGATATGAATGAAGCAAATAATATGATGAACAATTCTTATCACCATTTGATAATTGAGATATAATTGTAATTAAAGTACAATGTAATGTTTTTAGTTTTTCAAAGCTAGATCCATATTGATAAGCACTTGATATATCTTGTGTTGTCCATCCATCAGGTATTGTTAATGATTTTGTTATTTAGAATCAATTTTATCTTGAGCATGTAAAGTAAACTGATTTAATGAATATTTATTAAGATTATCTTGATCACAAAATGAATCAATAACATCAGTACAACTCATACAATCTGGACCAAGTGTTGACCATGGTCGACTATAAATATACCATTCACACATTGGCATAATTATTTGTGTAAATACTTCTATTAATTCATGTTCATTAAAAACAAGTGCTTTAATAAAATTAATGTGTTCAAAAATAATTGTTGCTTGTTATTCATCATCTTTTCATGGAAGTAATTGTTGACAAGCAGCTGTTGCAAGTTCAAGATAAGCAACAGCTGGAAAAAGAATTAGATCTTGACTTTTATAATCTTTTAAATAAATATGTTGTGATAGATTAATATTAATAAGACTTTTCCATGTTGCACTTGTTTGATCAACTAATTGACGAATGCCAAGTAATGGATGAGTCGGTATACGATTAGCTAAACGTTATATAGCTGAACCTTTTGATTCATACCAACATAGACTTGAATGAAATTTATAATGGAAAACTATCAAAATATTCTTTATGATTTTTCATAGGTAAAATTTGACGAGTATGGAAATATTGTTGCCATACATGAGATGATGTTGTAAGTTGTGCTAGACTAGAAAGTAGTGTTATTTGTTCATTTTCTTTTCGTTTTAATGTTGGAAGAATAAGTGGCGATGATTGTTGTTGATTTGTTAATTCATAACATTCACGAATTGATTTTACTAAAACTAGGTGTGACGAAATTTCAAGAAAAACATTTGCTGCTTTATCTTTTATAATTAATATTATAGCATCACAAAATCGAACAGTTCGTCTTACATTTGACTATCAACTGACATATTATCATCAGTAACACTTGAATAAAGTTTTGCTTGTGCACATATCAGATTAAATATCTTTTTTGATCTTGTATTGAATATCCACGAGTATTTTTTTATGATAATAACATATCTTTTTCGATATCAGATCGATTCATTTGATATGATGAAATGCATTTTTAATACGAAGTCGTGCTTCAAATACATTTGGATAAGAGATTGAAAGTATTTGTTGTATTTCATCACTACTTATTGTCACTGAACGAGGACTATTAACAAAAGCAATACAAGCCAAATGTTCAATACCTTTAAGAAGTTTATTTTCTATTTCTTCTTCACTCATTGAAACAGCTAACATACGAATAGCTTCTTCTAAACTTAAACGACCAGCAACAAAAGCAGCTGCTTGATCACCAGCACTATGTGATATTATAGATGATGGATCAATTTTCCATGAAATAAGTGAAACTGTTAATGCAACTTGTATTGTAAATAATGTTGGTTGAGCAATATTTGTATCATTAATACGAGATTCTTGTTCATTTTTCTTTTCGATTAATTCTTCTAATAATCTCCATTCACCATTATTAATTTTTGTCATTTCTTTATCAATTAAATTAATCCATTTATTAAACAAAGGTTCACTTTCATATAATTGTCTACCCATAGCCCACCATTGAGGACCTTGTCCACTAAAAACAAAACATATTTTCTGTGATAATGCTTTTGTTGGACGTGATATGATTGAGAGGCCTGGTGATGTTTGTTCAGTAAGAAAAGCATTGATTTGATCTTGTAATTGTTGACGATTGACGAAAACAAAGATTGCTGAATGTGTATAACTAATAGTTCTTTTAAGAAGAAGTTGCTGAGATATACGTTGAAGAAAAGCTTGATCATCATCATCATCATCTATATTATTAATTGGTTTTGTGTCTAACCAACGTTTGAATTCAATTAATTGATCATTAAGAGTTTGACGACTTTTTGCTGAATAAGATGAAGTGAAAAGAAATTATTTATTAATGTAAAGAAATTAAGAACTTACTTGAAAAAATGAAAGTAAAATATTGTTTACTTTTAATATGATATCCGTTGATATGACCATTTGTAATTGATATTTTATTTGGTTGATATTCTTCAATAATAGCATGTGTCGTTGTACCACCCATTCCAAATGAATTAACTCCTATAGCTATTTTTTCATTATTTGGAAGAGTTGGAAATGGTATAAAATTTTGAACAATATGTAGATTATATTTTTGTGCATCTATTTTTGGATTAAGTGAAGTAAATTGCATATTTGCTGTAATACCACGATGATACATACACATAGCAACTTTAATAAGTGATGCTACGCCAGCTGCACCTTCTGTATGTCCTAAATTACTTTTAATTGAACCTAATAATAATGGTGGATCAAGATTTGATCGATTAAAAAAACGACCTAAACAATTGGCTTCAATTGGATCACCAACTGGTGTCCCTGTACCATGTGCTTCTACAAATAAGATTTTTCGAGTATCAAAATTATTTCTTGAATAAATATTTGCTAATAAACGTCCTTGTCCAGCAGCGGATGGAACGACAAAATTTAGTTTATCTTCGTTTCCATCATGACCACTAAGTACATCACGAATAACACAATATATACGATCTCCATCACGTTCAGCATCACTTAATCGTTTTAATAATAAAAGACCAAGACCATCACCTAGACAATTTAGATTTAATTTCAAATAAAAACTAATCAATTGAAATTTGTACCTTTAGCATAACCATTAGCATCAGCACTAAATGATCGACTTCTTCCATCAGGTGATTGTGCACCAATAAGTGAACTAAACAAAAAATTTTCTGGTGTAAAAATTCCATTAACACCACCACATACAGCCATATCGGCTTCATTTGTACGAAGACATTGTACAGCCATATGCAAAGCTTCTAAAGATGATGAACAAGCAACATCTAATGAGACATTTGGACCATGTAAATTAAAATGATATGATAAACGAGTTGAAGCATTATATAATAAACTATTAGGCCCATGAAATCTTGACCGATGTTCAGGTCTCATACGACTTGTTGCAAGTGCATGATCTGTTGAAAACTGTCCAATATGTACTGATGTTTTTGTACCATTGATTTTTTCAACACTGTATCCAGCATCATCAAGCAAATGAACAAATTTTAACATAAGTAATCGATGGCATGGATCAACGCTGCCTGCTTCAGCATCTGATAAATCAAAAAAACTTGGTTCAAACATATCCCATTGTTGATTTGACATAAAATAACCAGCACGAAGAAGTTTTTGACGAAATTGTCCACTATTATCCATATTAAGCATATGAGCAGTAAATGATTCAAGATCAAATCGATCAATTGGTGTTGTACTACCAACATCACGACTTTCTTTTAGTGCATGCCATAAATCATTTGGTGAATGAATATCACCTGCAAATTCACATGACATACCTATTAAAGCTATTGGTTCTAATGATGTACTACTATTATTTATAGTTGCCATTAGTATTCTTGATTAAATTTTTTTTTCTGGATTAAAAGAATAGATTTTTATATCTAAAATAAAAATGATAATTTTTTAGATCAGTCAAAGTTTCAGGTGAGCTTTTAACTTTAATTTCCTGTAATTAAATTAAATTATTAAGTTTTTTAATTAATATTTAATAGTTTGTGTTAGTAAAAAAAGAACAACTAAATGGATATGACTATTCGCTTTTTGATCCACATCTACACTCTCAAGTATTCAAAGGCACTTCTGTAAATATCAGCATACACCTAAAAAAAGCGTGTTGTAATTCAAATTTGATAAAAATATACTTTAGGATATAAACCTATTTCTGTTTATGAACTAATAAATGAAAATGAGATATTAATATAAACTAGGATAAAATAATACTGTTCATAGTAAGCATACATATAGT